TAGAAAGCCTCAAGAACACCTCCTAAGCCCAAAAATCTTAATTTTTCCAAATCTCCTCTTTGGATCTTCGGTGAAATCTTTCATTTTTGGTACGAAGACGTTGCCCTCATCAAAGTGATCAACTTTAACTCTTGGTGTGAAGGATTCTGACTAGCGGAATTTCGGAGATAGTAGAGAGAAGTCTTGATTTTCTCTTTTTCTTTTCTCCCTTCACTCTCTTCCTTTTCTAGTGTGAGAATCAATTGATCAAGTGGGGAAGATCATATATTTTTTTTCTATTTATACACTTTAGTTGTGCGGTCCACGTCGCGCGTACACGTTTTTTATTTTCGGGTCCATTTTTGTCCCGAAATGGCTTAATTTCATCCCTTTTTAAGTTCAATTTATTTTTATTTGAAATTTTCTTCAATTATAAGAAAATTTTATATAATTTACTTTTGAGAACGTTTGTGAAGTCACCCGACACCCAGTTGTCTCGTAAAACGTGAAAAAATTTGACTATTTTAGAATTCGATGAAAATTGATAGGGTAACTAAATTTCATGAGAAGAATCCAACGGTAAGATCCATTTAAGCATCAGAGATCTAGAAAAATATGTATTTTACTTTTGCATTATAATGACAAATTACCGTTTTGCCCTTTTTCGGAAAAAGTTCAAATTTACCTAGGTTTTACAATCAGTCAACCTCAAAGAAAAATCCTTGCAATATAGGTTAACTATTTTTTCCAAAGTGTATTTTACCTACCTATTGGCTAATTTAGCTTGTCCACTTGTCTGAGGATGATAAGGAGCAGATAATTTATGGGAAATCAAATATTTTTCATCAAATTTTCAAAAGATTTATTGAAACAATATGTACCCTCATCACTTATAATAGCTCGAGGAATTCTAAATCTAGACAAAATATTTTTTGTTTTTTAAATCTGATCACTGTGCGATGATCATTGTTTCGACAAGAAATTGCTCAACCCATTTGGAAACATAATCGAAGACAACCAAAATGTATAGATGTACAAAGGAGGGGGAATGGTCCTATAAAATCAATGCCCCAACAATCAATAATTTTAATAATCAAAATAGGATTTAAAGGCATCATGTTTCTTTTAGAAATATTCCCAATCATTTGACATCAATCACAATGTAGACAAAAAACATGTCTATCTTTAAAAAGAGTGGGCCAATAAAATCCATATTGCAAAATTTTTGCAGCAGTTTTCTTTGAAGAGAAATGTCCACCAAAAGTTCATAATGGCAAAACAAAATAACTTAACCTATTTCATGATTGGGTACACAACGCCTTATTATCTAATCTTTTCAACATTTAAACACATAGGGATCTTTCCAAATGAAATTGCTTACATATCTCTTATTAATTTCTAGTTGTCGGTCCAAGTATACTGAAAAGGAATGGTACATGTAGCTAAATAATTGGCTATGTCTGCATACCATGGTACCTCTGTTATTGTAAATGCTCATCAGGGAAGGTTTCCTTGATAGGTATTGACTCCTCTTTTATATCATAATTTAGCCTTGATAAATTATTAGCTACCATATTTTTAACTTCTTTCTTGTCTTTGATAATGAGATCAAATTCTTGAAGCAATAGTATCCATTGTAGGAGACATGGTTTAGCATCCTTCAAATAACTAGATATTTCAAGGCTACATGATCAGTAAACATAACAATTGAGAATCCAACTAAATATGATCGAAATTTATCTAAAGCAAACACTATAACAAACAATTCTTTTTATGTGGTAGAATAGTTCATTTGTGCATCATTCAAAGTTTTGCTTGTATAGTAAATCACATAAGGTCGCTTATTTTTTCTTTGGCCTTAGACAACTCCTACAACATAATCAATAGTATTACACATTAATTCAAAAGATAAGAACCAATCAAGAGGTTGCATAATTGGTGGAGAAATAAGCATTCTCTTAAGTTTATCAAATGATAATTGACATGGTACATCCTGATATAGAAGATTACGCATTGGTCTGAATATCAAACTAAAATTCTTAATAAATCTTCTTTAGAATCCTACATGACATAGAAATGATCAAACATCTTTTAAATTCTAGGTGGAAGGACATTAGCTATTAAATCAGTTTTTGACTTATCAACTTTAATTCCCTATGCAGAAACAACAAGTCCTAAAACAATGCCTTGTGTGACCAAGAAATGATATTTTACCAAATTCAAAACAAGGTTTGTTTCATCACACCGAGTAAGGACTTATAATGCTGAAAATTTGCTGGAACATTACACAACCCAAATGACATTTTTTTATAAGCAAAAGTGGCAAAAAGACAAGTAAAAGTGGTTTTCTCTTGGTCATCAATTTCTATTTCAATCTAGTTATAGCTGGAGTACCCATCCAAAATACAATAATATGCATGTCCAGCTATTATTTCCAAACTTGGTCTAAGAAAGGTAGAGGAAAATGATATTTTATGGTAAGAGAATTTAACTTCCGATAGTCAATACACATATGCCAACCAGTGACTGTACGCATGGGAACCAATTCATTTTCTTAGTTTCTCACTACCATAACACCAGATTTTTGGGGTGCTACTTATGTATGGTTGACCTATTTACAATTAGATATATGATATATAATATTAACATCTAATAGTTTAAGCACTTCAACCCAGACAATTTCCTTCAAATGTGAATTTAATCTTCTTTACAGCAGTCGGGGTGGTTTAGAGTCTTCTTCCAAGTATATACAATAAGTACAAAGAAGAGCAGTTATTCCCTTAATGTCAACCACTATCCAACTGATTGCACTTTGATATTTGTTATGACTCTTATCAACTGCTTTTCCTGAACTGCTGTCAATTTGGAAGATATTATCACTGGATAAGTTTCATCATTTCCCAAGAAGACATATTTCAAGATAGTAGGAAGAGGTTTCAACTCTGGTTTAGGAGTAACAACACTACACTCAGTAGACTTTGTTCTAGTTGGTAATAACTCTTCTAATTTTGGAACCAATGTTCCAATAGTGGACACTTAACTGTTAAAATATTGATAAACTATTAAATTCGTATTTCGGACCTTTAACCACTCCTTGTGCATACTAACACATTTTATTTGTATATTAATAAATTGATGTTACATGCTTGTCACCCGATTAATTCCACATGCGCTAACGTACATAAAATAATAAAGTCATGTTACATGTCAACGTTCGTATTTATCTTTTCACACTTTATATAAAATAATTCCCCTTATAATCATTCTTTATAAAATTATCTCTAACTAATAAAATATTCATCATTCAGGTTCAGGTCACTTATCATTACTCGTAATTAAATATTGGTTGTCAATCATATGCATACATGTCACATGTGAATATGCTTATTACAAATATTATATGCTTGTTATGTATGTTCGAGTCTTATAATTATAAATAAATGGATACTTCCATACATATTTGTATATCCACCACAACTTTAATTTTTTTTTCAAAAATTAAACCCTATTTTTATATCAAGACCTATACCCAATCTCCTGTATTCCTGATAGCTTAATTTTTAATCATTGAACCAAAATTACTATTAACATAAAATTAACATGTACACCCTTATATATTTTTCTTGAGTTCTTAACCCGTGACTAAGTTTATCATCGGACCCATACTTATTTCCTTGTGTTTCCAACTATTTTAATTTTAAATTCAATGATTAAAATATGTACTCGCATCTATACCCCCAACACAAAATAAAATACCTAATTAGTTGTTTGGGTCTCACAAGTTATGTTGTTTTTGGATATTAAGTAGGAATACTTTTGATATATTTCAGTTGATCATTTCAAGTTATATTTTGATTGCAAAGTTTTGAGTGTTAGGATAAAATAGTACATGCAGATCACTATCAAATTATTTTAGCATTCTGTCTAGTTGAAGGTATAACTTTGGCCACCCTATAAGGGAATTTCATGTTTTACTTGTGCATTATCCCTGCATTTTTATTTGAAACATACCATTTTGTGCATGATATGATTTGTTATTTTTCGAAAATCTTTGGAATAACTTGATTCTTTGGAAGCTTACATGCATAATGGAAATGTAGAACCCAAGTGCAGCTTAAGCCTATATTCTTTGTAGGGATTTTGAACATTTACTCAAGTAAGAATTTCAATTCAGTGTCGACCCTTGAATAATCTCATTCTTTTGATTTGATTGTTACTTATTGGGTAATAAGTTAATAATCCCCTTTGCAATTTCCAATGGGAATTATGCATGCAATAAATTATGGAATAAGATCTTAGGCCATTTGTGATTATTATTTGAGCCTTGTCCATTTCTTTTGCAAAATTATCTCTAGTTAGTCGTGATTGAGCGTGGAAATAAAAAAATTCTTTTCTTTAAAGCCACGTTTTTTACCAAGCTAGCAATATATATATATATATATATATATATATATATATATATATATATATATATATATATATACCTTGGTTATCTAATTTTATTGCACATTCTCTTAAAAGTAGATTATATGGGAGAAGAGAAAGAAAAAGTAAAGGATGTGGGTTGAGAAAAGAAAAGGCTTGATAAAAGAAGAAAAGGAAATGAGAAAAGAAAAAGAATGAAAGAAATGCAAAAGAAACAAATCAAGCAAGTGAGTTGCAAAATTGAAAATTGAAAAATTGTCCTAACCACTAAAGTTTGTAGGTAGCTTCATTGAAAAAGTTCACAAGACACAACTCGTTCATTAGGGTGACCTAGGGGTTTAAAGGCTTATAATATGAGCTAAATGTAGTCGTGAAACCTACAAAAGTGGTTGTATGTTTTATTGTTTGTATTACTAGAGACTATTAATGTTTGGTTGCGGGTGTGATTAACCCTATAGTGATGCATTGTTTATAAAGGTTTAAGGGTTAATGTGTTAATTAAATAGTTAATGGAATAAAAGTTAAATGATATTTATATTAATGGGTGAAAACATGTTATTTTGAAATTACTAGGTCTAAAAAGTGAAATTGAAAAGCTAAGGGGCCAAGGTGCAAAAAGAAAAACATTGTAGCCACACTGCAAGCATCTAGAAGTCCTTGCATCATCCGAATGCTCGGCCTAGCATCAACACAAGACTCAAAGAAGAAGATTGTCGAATACGAATGGAAGAACACCATCTGGATGGCGGAAATTGGCGTCTGGATGGTGGAAGCTGACAATGGTGAAACCGACATATCAGCTTGTCTCTCATTGGTCAGCTTTGGAAACAATCGAACCTTATTGTGCCAGGAAGGAAACTTCCACCCAATCTTTTCCTAATTACCCCCTCCCTCCAATTTTTAAATCATTCTTCATTTTTCATTCTTTAGTTTTTAGTTTAAGGCCTTCCTAGTGTATTATATCTTCTACATTTCTTGAAGACCACCTCCTATTGACAAAGGAAGGGTGAAGGTGTTTCAATCTAACCATGGGGAAGAGTTAGGGGCTTTGTTTATGATTTATTATTTTGTATTGTAATTTCCAATTTTGCTTGGTGGAGTGAAAATCTGTGGCACCCCAAAATTCGGGGGTCCGTTGATTACCCATCAATCTGCGGAATACCCATGGATACCGAGTAATTCGATATTACTCCATTGTGCCCCATTTACCGGGAACCATAATTTTGACAAAATTCAAGCATAGTCTCCTTTGTATGGGAAGCTCTATCCAAAACTCAACATGTGCAATCATATAATAATAAGACCTATCCGAGGTCCAATATTCAACAATGACTACACCGGGTCCAATTATAAGTAAACATTGGCAACACCGGATCCAATTATCCATATTTATATCAAAACATGCAAGGTTAGTTTAACAGTAGTCTATATAAGTTCTATTACAATTATTTGCAAAAGATTACATGCCTAAAATATTATTTCCACAAATGTTTTATATTCAGTGTGTATCCAGAACCTGAAATGTTTTCCCGTATAGGGTGAGCGACGCCCAATAGAGTAATTCCTTCAGAGGCTACTCCCCACCTAAGTGCACATGCAATGCTCACATACAATATTTCATATTCACATCAACATTTCAAGTAAGAATAAGCATTCAATGTTGGAATTTATCATGTCATGTCATGAAATGAGATAAGACTCACTCATGCAAATCAACCCCAGCCCTTCCCAGCTCCTCAACACATTCAAGCACCAATGTGTATGGAATTGTCATTTATGTTGCACATCAAATGACTTTTACCAACCTATAGTTTTTGTATGGGGTGAATGTTCATGGGCTTACACCAAGGGTCTCCAACCTACTTGGGATTTATGGACTTCCACCAAGGGCTCCGCGTACCCCCACACACTTCATGGGCCAAGCCAAGGGAGTGCGTATCCCAATCACCGGGCCTTGCACCCGAGGAATCTTCTAGTCGCTCCTTGCTAACCCCAACCCTAATCACCGTGCAACTTGTGGGACTTGGTCATGTCTTCGACCAAGCTTAATGGAGTCCACTCGTCATCCACCAAGTGTGGTGTTGATGACAACCATGCACACACCCACATGATGCGATGTTAACGTGCATATGCAATATGATGTCCCATTGCACAATTATAACATATTCAATATGCTATGAAAGACATATGAACAATCTCAACATATCATGGTAAGTTATGTTCTAAGCATATAGCTACCATATATGTCACAATGTCAATATATCATAACATGCATATACCAACAATTACATTTCCAATCATAAATCATGTCATAAGCCCATGATTTCACTTCACCACATCATCCAAGCATGTTATAGCATAATCTCATGCAATTAACACACTTTATTTCACATAGGCATTTTCTCAAACACCTTAAAGGCACTCAAGTCATATAATCACATAACATATTCCAAGTCACCACATAGCTCAAGAAATCACATTAAGTGATTTTTACACAACCATTTCCACATAATACCAAGTCTCAAGAAAATTACATAAGTAACTTCCACATACAAAACTTAAAGTAGAAATTTGTCCGAGCAAATTCTATTCCCAAATCTTCACTTTCATAATCATAGGCAAGTGATATCACAATTTTTAGGTCAATAACACACTTAATTACAAAGGCACAATATAGCACATAAAAGCCCATGTAGTAGCCCACATAACAGCCCAAAACAGTCCGCAAAAATAGTCCAAAAATAGTCCACTTTTCGGTCCGAAACCAGTCCATTTTTCAGTCCAAAAACAATCCACTTTTCTATCCAAAAACAGTCCACTTTTTCGTCCAAAATCATTTACAGTTTCAGTCCAAAAATAGTCACAATTTCAGTCCAAAAACAGTCACAATTTCAGCCCCATAACAGCCCCTTGAGATAGGAATAAAACCAAAGTAGGAAGAACCCTACCTCAATAGAAGTGTAGAGAACTTCTATAACACTAAAACAACCTCAAAACTTTGATTTTCCCAAAGTCTCCTCTTGGATCTTCGGTAAAACCCACTCTTTTTGGTACGTACGCGTAGCCCTCGTCGAGAAGATGAACTTTAGCTCTTGGTCTGAGTTGATCCAAGCGACGGAACTTCAAAGATCCAAGGTAGAAAACTTGAAGAACTTGAAGTTTTTCTTCTCTTTTCTTTCCTCTCTATGGCCAGCCAAACAAGAGTCAAAATGAGTGAGAAAATATCTGATTTTTTAGATATTTGCCCCTATTTATACCCCCTCAATGTGTGGTCCAAATTGCACCGCATAATTTCGACTTTCGGATCTATTTTTTGTTCCGAAACGATCCATTATATTTCGGATTAAGTTCAAATTAATTTTATTTAAAATTTTATTCAATTATAAGGAAATTTTATAAATTTTATTTTTTGGGGACCTTTGAAAGGTTATTCGTCATCTAATTGTCTTGTAAAATGTGCAAAATCCGACTATCTCGGAATAAGACGAAAATTGACAGGGCAGCTCAATTTTGTGATACGAATCCAACGGTGAGGTCCGTTGCATCATCCGAGCTCTAGAAAAATATAGATTTTAAACTCGCATTATAGTAATAAATTATCATTTTGCCCTTTTTCTAAAAAAAACAAAAGAGAAAAAATTTAAATTTTTCCTGGGTTTTACATTCTTCCCCCCTTAAAAGAATTTCGTCTCCAAAATTCACATACACATTCACATGCATATGTAGCCATCAAATAATGCTAAATGACTATAAGAATGTACCTCTGTCCTCAAATAAGAAGGGATAATTGGTATGGATGGTGTCCTCGCGCTCTCATGTCACCTCCTTCACTCCCCGGTGCTGCCAAAACACCTTCACTAGCCGCACAGTCTTGCCTCGCAAAACTTGTTCCCGGTTAACCATGATGCGCACCGGTCCTTCCTCGAAGGTCCCTTCAGCATCAACAACAAGCTCTCCCCAATCCACCACATGAGTCGGGTCCGGGTGTATTTTTGGAGCATAGAGACATGGAATACAGCATGAACACCTGATAGATTTGGTGGTGATGCCAACCGGTAAGCCACTGCACCCACCCTCTCGAGTACCTCGAAGGGTCCGATCTACCTCGGTGACAACTTTCCCCGCTTACCAAACTGGACCACTCCTCTCTTACGAATCACCTTCAAGAAGACGTGATCTCCGACCTCAAACTCTAGGGATCGCCGTTGTTTGTTGGCATAGCTCTTCTGTCGGCTTTGAGCTGTGAGGAGACGTTTTCGTATCAAGTCCACCTTCTCAGAGGTGTCCCTAACCAAATCCAGACCCATAGAGGGTCTCTCTCCCACCTCTGTCCAACAAATCGAAGATCGACAAGGCCTCTCATATAGTGCCTCATAGGGTGCCATCTGTATGCTCGCCTAATAACTATTGTTGTAGGCAAACTCTACTAAGGGTAAGTGCTCTTCCCAGCTACCCTTAAGATCTAGGACACATGCCCGTAGCATGTCCTCCAAAGTCTAGATGGTCCGTTTTGACTGACCGTCCATCTGGGGATGAAAAGCAGTGCTCATCATCAACCGTTTTCCCATGGCTCGCTGGAAACTCTCCCAAAAATTGAGTTGTAAACCTGGGATCCCGATCTGATACTATAGATACGGGTAACCCATGCAACTGAAAAATCTCCCGTATGTATAACCTACAGAATTCCTCCAATGTCAAGGTCATTCGCACTTCCAAAAAGTGTGCCGACTTCGTAAGCTGGTCCACTATCACCCCTACCGCATCATGACCCTGCGATGTCCGTGGCAAGTGAGTCACAAAATCCATCGTGACATGCTCCCACTTCCACTCAGCTACCTCCAAAGGCTAGAGCAACCCTGTTGGTCTCTGGTGTTCAGCTTTCACTTGTTGACACGTGAGACATCGGTTAACAAAATTTTCAACGTCTTTCTTCACCCCACTCCAATAATACTGGCGATGAAGATCATGATACATCTTCGTGCCACCTGGATGCATAGCAAAACGGGAACAATGGAACTCTCTAAGAATCTCCTCTCTGAGTACCGCAGATTAGGGAACCACAATCCTTCCCCTAAATCGAAGACTACCATCCGAGTGAATGGTTCAGCCCTCGTCACCTGTACCTAATCGTACTCATTCCCTGATGGATGATAACTCTGTATCCTGTCCCTGGGACTCAATCACTCTGCTCAGTAGGGAAGGTGTAGCCACTAAACCCCCCCAAAGTACCCTGAGCCTGCCCCATGTAGCGTAACCCAAACTGTCCCACAGTCTTGAGCATTTGCCACTCCCGGGAAGCCACATTAGCCAAGACTCCCCGTGACTTTCGGATTAGTGCATCAGCCACCACATTTACCTTACCGGGATGGTAATGCAAAGTGAAGTCATAATCCTCCAGAAACTCCATCCACCTGCGTTGCCTCATATTGAGGTCCCTCTGTGTAAAGATGTACTTCAAACTTTTGTGGTTCAAAAACACCTCAAACTGCTCACTGTATAAAAAGTGGCGCCAAGCCTTCAAGGCAAAGACAATGGCCGCCAACTCCAAGTTGTGTGTGGGATAATTCTGCTCGTGATTCTTTAACTGCCGAGAACCATAAGCCACTACCTTCTCGGACTGCATCAACACACAACCGAGTCCGTCCTTCGAGGCATCATAATACACTGTGTACCTCATTCCCCTTTCCGAAACTATCAAAATAGGAGCTGATGTCAGCCTCCTCTTCAACTCCTGGAATGCCTTCTCACACAAGTCATTCCACTCAAACTTGACCTCTTTTCGGGTTAATCTTGTCATAGGTGCAGCTAGTCGGG